TGATTAAAGATCAAATAATATAGAATTTATTAAAGAATATATAGCCAAATTTGTTTCTGCTTTATGTTATCTTTCAGACAAGCAGTTGCAAAAAATGTTTTTCATTCTCTCTAGAATCGATTAAATTCCAAATTGAATGACAGAAGTGACATTTGGTCTCGGTTTCGTCGTTAGAGTTAGAAAGATAAACGAAGCAGGACATCTCATTAATATTTAAAAAATGAATCAATCAATGGTAAAAAAGAATAGGATATTAAGATAGATCTACTCAGACGAGGAAATTAGGAGTCATGGTGCCGTGAGGAAGAATACTGGCAACGATCGGTTGGCACACTCTTCAAATTTCATGATCTTGTACGCTTTCTGTTGCGTTCTACGTATGACGATAAACTACATCCGCCGCCTCCTGGGTAAGACGATAAACTACACCCGCCGCGTCCTGGGTAAGGCGATAAACTATATCCGCGTCCTGGGTATGGATATAAAACGATAAACTATTGAATATTTCCTGGGTAAGACGATAAACTACATCCGCCGCCTCCTGGGTAAGACGATAAACTACATCCGCCGCCTCCTGGGTAAGACGATAAACTACATCCGTGTCCGGGGTAAGACGATAAACTACACCCGCCGCGTCCTGGGTAAGACGATAAACTACATCCGCGTCCTGGGTAAGACGATAAACTACATCCGCCGCCTCCTGTGTAAGACGATAAACTACATCCGCGTCCTGGGTAAGACGATAAACTTTATCCGCCGCGTCCTGGGTAAGGCGATAAACTACATCCGCGTCCTGGGTAAGACGATAAACTACATCCGCCGCGTCCTGGGTAAGACGATAAAATATACATCCGCCGCCTCCTGGGTAAGACGATAAATTACATCATCCGCGTCCTGGGTAACACGACAAACTACATCCGCGTCCTGGGTAAGACGATAAACTACATCCGCGTCCTGGGTAAGACGATAAACTACATCCGCGTCCTGGGTATGAGTATGACGATAAACTACATCCGCCGCGTCCTGGGTAAGACGATAAACTACATCCGCCGCCTCCTGTGTAAGACGATAAACTACATCCGCGTCCTGGGTAAGACGATAAACTACATCCGCCGCGTCCTGGGTAAGGCGATAAACTACATCCGCGTCCTGGGTAAGACGATAAACTACATCCGCCGCGTCCTGGGTAAGGCGATAAACTACATCCGCGTCCTGGGTAAGACGATAAACTACATCCTACAGCAAGGTCTCTGATCAGGAGGTTTCGACGAGCGTGGAACCTCCTCCTTATTACTGGTGTTCACTGGTCCACCCTGACCTGTGGTGGTAGCACCTGTTATTTCCCAAAAAAATGGGCAAATAGTTAACCCCGAAAATGAAGGTAAAAAAGCATTATAAAATGTTAAATATAGGTTTTAATACCAAAAATACTTTGTAAAAATTATTACCAGAAATAAATTTTTGAAAAAAAAAAACTATTACCAGCAATATATTTTTGAAAAAAAAAGGCATTATAAATAGCAATATATTTAAAAAAAAAATTATCAGCAATACATTGTTTTTAAATAATATTACCTGCTATATATTTTTTTTTAAAACAATATTACCAGAAATAGATTTTGACAAAACATAATATATATATAGAAAAAAAATGTTGTCGGCATTAACTAACCGATTGAGGTTGATAAACCGTAAAGCACAACAACAATAGCAACAAACCCTTACTGTTATCGACTAGTATCCGAACAAAAATAAAGATAAATTGACAAAAGAGAAAAGCTGTTCAGGAAAATCGTTTTGCCTGTTCATGGTGAGCGTTTTCAGGTCAGAATAAGATAGATAAATGGCGTGACAAGGGGGCATACATTTCCTTATTAAATGCTACCCAGAAAGTGTGAAGCGTTTAGCATCTGCTAGATTTTAAATGAACCCACTTCGAGTAGATTTTAGCTTGCTTCCTCTGTTAGTTCGTATACAGCATTGTGTTATGACTGCTTTTGTAAAAATAGATGATAAATAACAGTAGAATAGTGTGGTATGCGAATTAGAAAAGGAAACCGAGGTATACTCGAAGTGACCTAATTTCACCTCCAGTCGATGTTAAAACCATAAAAAATATTATTTTAAAAAAAATTGTTATTAAAGAATAGTTTATATTAAACTTTTATTTTATTTTTTTTTTTAGAAGAATTGTATTTGCACATTACTTTTCAAAAGACGTTTTAAGTCATATATTAATACAAAACAAAAGAAGTCGAATTTGAATGGGTGAACTAAATTTCCTGATAGATGCAGACACACAACAATCGCACATACACACATTCATTCATACATTCACACAATTCATATACACATTAAAGCATGCATCTATAAGAACATACGTACACACACATATATTTACACATATATATATATATATATTTTATACACGCGCTATAATACACCCGCATAAATTTGTTACACGCACACGCGCTCAAACAAATTTACACACACACACACGCGCACACACACATTTTTTTTTTTGAAATTGATTTAACAACTATGAATTTTTAAAGAACGCACACGCACACACAAAATGACTTTAAATCGCTTAAAGAAAGAAACATATATATATATTCCTGCATATGCAAAATGTCGATGAGATAAAATGAAGTCCTTATAAATAAAAATCAAAAGTTTTTTATAACAAAATAAACTATAACACGGTCATAACGTTTTGGCCGTATTCATGAATTTTTGTTGTTTGCAAGATTTCAAATAAATTTATGTTGAAAACTAATAAAGATTAATACATTATAATCAAAGGAATAAACAGTTTAAAATTCCAAAAATATGTAATATATTTTTTTTCAAAAATTTTATTACTCGCTAAAGAGAATATATATAATAGACGAGATTTTTAAATAAATATTTTAAAATTTAACATTAGAACTTTTTTAAGAGGGGAAAAAAAAAGAGGTTTAATGATAGAAATATGAATGTTGTTGGATGTCTAATACATTAAAGATGTAACCGGAAAGGATACATTTTGTGGTGACATTTTCACACACCATAGACGATCTAATCTTAAAAAAATCAGAAGAAGAGGGATCATGGAATATTAATTTTAATTAAAGAATCTATTTTATTCATCTATCTATCTATCTATCTATTCATCTATCTATCTATTGTCCTTTTTATATATCTATTTATCTATCTATCTATCTATTGAATATCTATCTATCTATCTATCTATCTATGTCCTTTTCTATCTATCTATCTATCTATCTATCTATCTATCCATTAATCTCATATATCTGAAGAAATATATGTCTTAAAATGTTTTCTATATTTATGGGAAAAAGTGCTCAATTCAGAGATAGAAAATGTAAATATAAAAGTGAAACACATTGAAGTCAACAAAAGAAAAAATATTTATAATGTTTATATGCTTTTTTTACCCACAGACACACACACAATTTTATATGTCTATACACACACATACACACATATATATATATATATATATATATATATACATATATATATATATATATATATATTGATGCATGTTCCATTAAATAATATAGACAAGTTTTGTCTATTTTTTTAAGTAAGTTCCTTTCATATTGTCTGATAAGCTTAATGTTGTTATCATAGAAAGACGAAAGGAAATCACCATATTGATACATGTTTAAATCCAATCTAAGCTTTCGGCTTACATAAGCCATTATCAAAGATGCCAATTACATTTCAATATATCAAACAATACACGGACGAAACAATAATGATAGTCTGTTTTTTTGCATGAAAAATTTCAAAGAAACGACAAACTGGTGTATACGAGACGCAGAAGCGAAAATCGCATCGAGCTCGTGACGTCACACATGACCACGCGAGAATGAAAACGAGAAGTATTTAAGTATGGGAAGCCGTTGATATAAACCAATGGCTTCTGTTATTAATTATTTGAATGATAACTCTAACATTTTTAGGCATTTAAAACAACATGCCTGGCCGCATACACAATTCCGGAAAATCCTCGTCGAAAACACAACTATACTTAAACATGAAAACAATAAACAAAAACTAAAAATTCTTGAAGCTATATACATAAAACAGTTGAAACCTAACCTGAACAAAATAAACTATGAAATCTCCACAAATATTCTTAAATGCCTATAATTAATAAGAGAAGACGATATGAAAAGAACTTACTGAAAATAAATAGACAAAACTTGCTGCCTAAATATATATATACAGATGGATACATATGAACGGAATCATATAGGTCTGAATTCATTGCGATAATTAGATGTGAAATGAATTATATATATATATGTTTAAAGACATTTTTACATTCTTTTTATAGATACAAATATTTAAGTAAATGCTCTGTTTATAATAAACAAACAACATTTACTGGCCTGAATGTCCGAGAAATTTTCACAGAAAATATTCGTCCTCCGACAGGATTTAACCTGAGACCTATACGGAACCGTCATTTAGATTGACGTGCCTTTAACCTTTATTTGTTTTTAAATAATGAATCGAAAATACTGCATTTAAACTTCAATCTTCCATGAATCTCTCACGTACATTCATATCTACTATATATATAAATATTTAAATAGTTCTAAAATTGGGAAAATATAAAGTTCTTCGTGGAATATGACTGAATATCGTTTCAGTCCGAAGTCGGGCGACCGGCTGATAGGCTGATCGGTTGAACTCTCTGCCTTCGGGCGGAAGAAACCCGAACGAGGCTACGCCGAAGGGCGGAGTCTCTTTCGGGGAGGTAAACCGACTCTGAACCCGTTTATACGGGTTCAAAGGGCATATTTTTGGCCGAACCCAAGGGCTCGGAGTTCCCACGTTAAAAAGGCCTTGTGCCACATGACGCCCTCGTGGGAGTGTGACTGAATATCGTTCAGTCTGAAGTCTGGAGTGAAGTCCGTCAGAAGTCGGTCAGGAGTCTGTCAGTCAGTCAGAGCGAGTCAGTCAGTCGAGTCAGAGGCAGT